ATCTGACTGATTTCCGACTTGTATTACTTGACAGGGAAGAAACAATTACTGATTTGCCACTCGATAAAGGAGTCCGGGCTCTTCTACAGGGTTGTAAAAACATGCAACGCTTTGCGTTGTACCTCCGACAGGGAGGTTTGACTGACACTGGTCTTGGTTACATTGGTCACTTCAGTCAAAATGTGAGGTGGATGCTTCTAGGTTATGTGGGGGAAACTGATGCAGGGCTACTCGAATTCTCTCTGGGCTGCCCTAGCCTTCAGAAACTTGAAATGAGGGCTTGTTGCTTTACAGAACATGCACTTGCTACTGCTGCAACAAGACTGACTTCTTTGAGGTACATGTGGGTCCAAGGATACCGAGCATCTCAAACAGGCATTGTCGATATTGTACAAATGGTTCGACCATATTGGAACATTGAGCTGATTCCTGGGGATCAATACAGTACCAACCCCGACAACGATGGTCAGCCTGTAAGGGTTGACCATCCATCTCACATTGTTGCTTATTACTCGCTTGCTGGACAGAGAACAGATCATCCAGCGACTGTTTACCCGCTACCTCTGCCAGATCCCTAGAGCCTGTATATAAGTTCCACTTCTGTCTGATAGTGATCTTCTGCGCTTACATGCACTCTGCTCCACATCTTGTTCATACAGTTTTGACATCTTTCTTTGGAAAACGGATTTGATTGTTGAGACCATTTTTTACATTTTGCAGACAATAAGGTTGTTTCTGAGCTGTTGTATTCTTGTTGTAGTCATTAGTATCTTGATCTCATTCTCATATACACGATGTATTCTGTATCCCATCTCATTGTTTGGCATGCTGCATTTTTGTAGCAAAAATGTTAAAATTTGCCTATTGAATGCAGAGGGTTGTGGTGTCCTTGAGAATAAATATTGTAGTATATGGTTGTATACTTGCCTACTTGATGCATTGTGAATCTGTACAAAGTTTTCTAATTGGCATGTATAGTATAGGTGCCTTAAACTTATTCACATCTTGTTTCTTTTGCAGGGACTGAGGACTCTATCTGCTACACGGCCTAGGCCTATAGGCTAGGCAGTTGAGCTTGTTTAGTCTTCTCTCCCACAATTTCTTTCCCTGACTCATGTGAATTGGACTTAAGCCTCCGCTTCTAAAACGAAGGGTGAGCCCCAAATGTCGAAATTATCTCATTCGTGTCTGTTGCTCTTTCTACTTTCCTCCGCTTCTTATGTTTGGGGTTGATAATTCCTATACCAGTAAGAGAAGCCATTAGATTTGAACCATGTTTTTAACCTTGAAGATGAATGTATGTAGAGTTACTGTTCTTCTTCTCGATTCTCTTCTTTTCTGGTTTTCACTGCACAAGACATGTAACAGTTAATCAAATAGCAGGGCATAGAAAAGTCTGTCATACCTGTACTGTTCTCCTTTATTAACCAAAGCTAACTCTAATTTGGTTTATCAATGGCATATCGATTAGTTCGTTTGTTATTAGTTGCATAACCTTGTTAGGTTGTGATATGTTTATATTTGGTTTTACCACAATAAATCTGTCTGATGTATTAGAAAGCGAGTTGCCTGATATCTCAAAATAATCACCCATAGGATGAATCAAAATTCTGAGTGGGCAGAAAATGATGAAATAATAACTTGCAGGATAGCATATGAATTTCCTACAGGAAACTGAGCATACTACTAAGTATCACTTGCATCTAAATAAAAAACAAAAAACAGGGTCATAAATCCACAGATGTTAATGACTGATGTTAGACACTGGATGACTGGAAACTAATTGAATACAGACACTATGAACAAGTTTCTGGTGCATTCGCAATGCGCATTCAGGGTTTAGTATATCAAACAGATCTTGATTCATTCAACCGTTTTCGACTTATCTATTTTGCAGACATTATATATGGACCAAGGGGTAACCCTGCTGAATCGAGGAACCCTTTGTTCAAACTTCTGAATTTGATGAGTTGATCTCAACTGTCTGAAAGCAAACCCAAAAGTTGAGGGAACAGAAGCATCCAGGGTGTACCCAGGTTAGCAATGTCAATTATTTCTCAACAACAATTTTGTATGTATTGTTCTTTGTTAGCTAGCTGCCTCACTTACATTATTGACCTTTTTTCTGAGATTATAATTCTATCAGTCAACCAACCACTTAATTGGTTGCTATGATATTGGGACCAATGAACTAACACTAATCCTGTCATTAGTGCTTGATTAGGACATAATTAGTCGGCTTCGACAACGTGCAAGGCAGGATGCACAGTCCCAACCTCAAATGGTTGACTTAATTAATATAGATAATTAACATTAACTAAACTTAATTCACTATGTTCATTTCAAATGACACAATGAATATATATATAGATTTTTTTAACTATAGTGATTTACAAATGTGAAAAGTACTACTAGATTAGCAAAATCTAAAGAAAAATTAGTGTTAATTTATTCTTGAATAATAAGAGCATCATAGATTTTCCATTAAGTGTGTTTTATGGTGTAGTCATAGTCTACTTTAAAAAGGTTCATTAATCTTAGAATAAAGCTTAAAGATGGGTGACATTATGCTTTTCTTCCCCCATAATATGTGCATTTGCAATTGCATGAAACTATTTAAAAGAACAAGGAGCCATAAATAATTATGTGGGAGTTTTGTCCTTTACCTTAAAAAAAAGTTGAAGAAAAAATAGAATACACTGTACTGGATCAGTTTGAAATTGGGGAACTTTATCTCTTAGTTTGTGTTTCAGAAAATCAAATCTTTTGTCTATACCTTTTTCCCCTTTTTTTTTCTCCTATTTTTTTGAGGGTTATAATCCCCATATTTATTTTGGCTGCATACATGAAAAGTGAAATGTATGAACATTAGGAAGTCATATTGCTGCAATGATATACACTCCCTATGATGGCAACTTCAATAACAGCAACCCCAAAATCCATGCAATATTATTGAAAGGTGCAACACATTAGGAAACACACCTATCACGTTACGTTTGATTGAGTGTCATTTTTAAGGAATTGGTTATACCTCACTCTTTAGATTTTTACGTCCAACCATAAGACTATATGGGCGATAATTTTTTGTTGAATCAAGTTACGGATATTAATAGTATAGTGTATAATTAATATGGAAAGGTTCAAAATTAAAAGTTAATTACTGAACCTAATTAGAAAGTGGTTTATACTTTATAGCATACACGTATTATTTTAGAACATCTTAAAATAACGAGGCGGTCTATTATTTAGGGATGGGAAGATCAAAGTTAATAAAACTTCAACCGGGAAGCTGCCAATAGTCAAATAAAGATCACATTCTGTTTGATCCCTCCATTAGCCTTATATTATTAGAATACAACAATTTTATCAAGTACTTGGAAAGTATATAATTTCCCATTACTTTAAACGTAGAATTATGCCTATACTTTTTTTATGATGATACTCATGCATAATTCTCTTCCAAGAATCATGACCTTTAAATTCAACAAATGAATCTACAATTTTTTAATTAATTTGATCATGCATGTAGTAACTTAAATAAGAATCTTGAAAAAAAAAATCGAATGTTTTTATCCTGTCGGGGGATCAACCCAATCATTTTGCTTTTACTCTGTAAAAAGAAATTTTAATTTTAGTGCCGAAAGTTGTTGTAAGATTCAATTCTTATCTTGATTTTGCACCTTGTAATTTCTTGAATACAACATTACTAGAAATTCAGAGCTCAAAGAGATAGAAGTATTCTTTACCCAAAGAAGGAATCAATAAGGTGCAAATCAAGATAATGGAATATTAAAACTGCTATTAAGCTTCCTAGACCATTTGAAAAGAATAGTCAAGATCTCATTCTATATAATGGAAGATAATTGAGATGCTTTGTTCCCACAACACAGTGTTAAATGTGTAGACTCGACTTATTTTCTAAATAAATATTTTATTAAACTCAAGAATTTAGAAAGGAATGATGCTCACATTAACCATTTTTTGTGTCATTAGAAGATGGGGTGTAACTTGTAAGATCAGATATTTTTTACTTTCGTTTCAAAATGGCTTCTATTCAGCAAGGAATATTCCAAAATGTCGTTCGTGGTTGATATATCTCATCGTAAATACAAGAAAATGACGCCAATTTTAGACTTTTTAAGGTAAAAATTCTTTCATACGGGTAAAAAAAACATACTTTGTATCATCTATACACGAGTGATAAAAAACCAAAATTCTATCGATAGGGTAGAATGGAGTATTTCATAATTGAAAGCCTTGTAGATGTAGTCTTTAATTTATTTTATTGAGTTACTTTTCACACAACTATTTGGTAAAAAGGTAAAATATATTTAGGATATTTTGTCATATGTCCTTAATAATGTAAGAAGTTATTTTATTAACTACCGAGGTGCTTTGTTTGTTAGTGGAATTCAGAGTCACCCCAATGACTAATTGATGCTGATGAAGAGGTTTGGTCACTTTGGCCATGTTTGATCCACTATAATCTAATGAATGGCTGATACGTCTTTTACATTTAGTAGAAGAGCAAAAAAGCAAGCAATCAGTTTTAAAGGAATTACCCTTGAAGGTGACCTCCCTTTAGTCAGCTAATTTGGCCACAACTTTTTTGGTGTGACATGGCTGATTATCCTACTTGTCTAGATTGTTCTCTTTTTTTTTTTTCTTTTTTTTTTTTTTCCTAACTTGTTATGCTTATCACTCCTAAATTAAAAATTAAAATAAAAAAAAAGGCACATATCGGGTTTGAACCTTGTTCATGTTACTACATTAAGTAGTGTTATTCATGCTTATTGCTCCATTTAGTAGGGGTGTAAATCAGTGTAATATGATGCAGGTTTTGGTGGAATCTTAGTCACTTTGCTTCTGATAATTGCATGCACTTTGTTCTACTAATTGTGGAAAAGTGCATTAAGAAATTTTGGAGAATGACAAGTTTATAGAACATTAGCTTAGCATGTAGGGAAATGGAGAAATTGGAGACTTGTATGCTCAATCAATTTTCTGAAGCTGAAGAAACTGACTTATTCATTCTCATAAGACGCGAAACCCATCTAAGGATTATAAACAGCACGCGAAAAAATTAACCTTCATATTGACCTAGACGACTAGATATCACGAGTACTCTCAAAAGGAAATCGTAATTCAAATATACATTATACCCTTCAAAAGATTGAGATGTTTTCACATTCTGTTGATGTCTACAGACTAAAATCTGATGAGCTTGAGACATGTGATGATGTACCACACAAGAACCATAAGAGATAGTTTACCAGTTGTATTACCCTTACTCTAATGTGATCCTACATAGGCTGAGGCTCCTTGGTAGGCACTACTGTACAGATTTTGCCGCCCATGAGGGGAGTCGAAAACCATGAATGCTTCACCATTCGTGTTGCTCCAATCGAGTAGCATCTTAGGCATGATGTTGAACGATTTTTGAAGCAATGGAAATGAGCCAGACGAGTGTTCTAAGAGTGATTTGGGCTTTTCATCAGTTTCTGAAACTGATGGCATAGCATTATCAGAAAGATTAGCAGTTGTGATATCGTGAATGCTAGGTCTTCGTTTATCCTTCCCACCCGAACTCTGCCTTAGGAAATACTTTTGAGCATGGCTAGCCACTTGGGTCGGGGTCTTTGATATAACAAAGTTCCGTGATATGTTTCTCCAGTCCCCTTTCCCATGCTTCTGAAGTCCAAGCAGAAACCGCCTGCATAACTCATTGTTAATAACTCAACCTTCTCACAATATAAATTACTAACATAAATCAATCACATATCATTATGTTTAATCATATCCAACATAATTAAGGACATACTGCAGATATCAGACTTTTACAACAGAACTTGCTAACCTAATGCCAACCCTATGGAACAATCTCATAGTCAGACTCACAATTTCTAAAAAACACATATCAGTACTCAGTATATAATTCGTGCATTCGCATACAAACCAGTGCAGATCAAGTAACACGGATATTTCAGGCAGTTTAACCTATTCAGTAATCACTACTAGACTCCAGTCAACAGCTTGTAATTGCAATATACAGTAAAATTTCACAATCGAATTTCATTGACAATCACAGAAATAATCAGTGAAAGAAAACATGATTTATTTAACTGATGTTACCTGTGTTCATCCTCAGTCCAAGGCACACCCTTTTTCCTTTCTTGTTCATGAGGCCTAGACATAGACATAGACATAGCCATAGAAGCCGCAGACCTCTTCCTAAAAGGATCAAATTTGCCATTATCAACCCACTCCAAAGTGAAGGGAGAAGCAAGATAGCCAGGAATCGGAACCAAGCCGGCTTCGATATCGGTTACATCTTCCAACAATTCTTTATACTGTTTCATCACATCCCAAACAGATTTTCCAGGGATCATATCAGCAATCCTTAAAAATCTATCAGGGGTATTCTCATCAAATATTGCAAGTGCTTTCTCAAATCTCTTGTTCTCTTCCTTTGTCCATATTGTACTCTTGGATTCCCCAGGAAATAGCCAATTATCATAACTTGAATTTGTAAACAAAGAAGCAGGATATATTGCTCCCATTTCTCTCCCTCCCAAAACCCCTTTTTTTTTTTTTTTTTTTTTTTTTGAAATTGTGATTTATGTTTATTTTGTTTCTCTCACTAAAAATTTAGAATTGAATTTTAATTCATGGGGTTTAAGAGAGATGAAATGGGTGAATTTAAAGGGGGGTTGAGGTGATGATCAAAATAGCAAGAACAGAGGAAATAAGAGAGGAAAATGAAGTTTCAGAATAGCCCAGAATTTTTTGTTCAAGGAGAATCAGAATAAACTTTGAGTTAAAATCAAATTTGAAGAATTCCTTATACTATAAAGACCTAAACTTTATAAATTTTACTTCAGAATATCAAAGGAAAATAAAATAAAAAATTAAAATTTTAAAAAAATTTGGAAAAAGCCACCGACTCTGTCCTCCACAGCACTAAAAATTAGAGCTAGTGCAGACCCTACCAAGTACTGCTACCTTACAACTTGCACTTCCTGCCCACTGGAGAAGAGGGGAGGAAGAAAAGGCAACAAAGAAGAACAATACTCCTAGATTCTGAATTATTATTATTTTTACTGGTATTTATTTTATACAAGGTAAATTATATTATGAAGGAAAGTTATAATTTTGTTTTCTTTTTAATGGGTTTTTTTTTGGAGGTTATGAGTTATTGGAAGTGTAGAAAGAAGCGGGAGAGAAAATGCTTTGACCTTTGCTTTTGGAGGTCGAATTTGAGAATGACAGGAAGGAAGAAGGTGTGACGAAGAACAGTAGGCTTTATTTTATTGAGTTGCATTTATAAAAAGCTTCAGGTTCAGCTGACTTACATATGTACGGATTTTTTATTTATTTAATTTTTCTCACGGGCTTATTCGGCCAAAGTAGTTGTTACGAGTGCATATTTAGTCTAGTATTAGGGTTTTGAATTGATACTTTTTCGACCTTTGATCCGGTTTGGTAAGGTATTGGATCGAATTATGAATTTAGATTAACTTTAGCTGTTGTAGACTTGTAGATGGGTATGCTATGGGTGAGGAATTTGTTGTTCAAGGTACTATTCTAAGGCTAATTTTAATAAGTTTTACAACATTTAATGAAAAGCTAATTTTGGTAAAGAAAAAATAATACTTCACAATAATTTAAAAATGCTGCACAATACAACAATACTATGTCAAACTTTTTTTTTTTTTTGACAGTAACTTAGGGTTTGGAATTAAATCAAATAATATGCAATATTAATAATACGACACGCGTTTACAAAAAACCTATGTAATAATCAAACAATTTCTATTTTCCAATCAATACGAACTACTATTTATGAAGAATTTTAATTAGAATTCTAATCATAAATAATTATAACAAATATTTTAGGAAAGGTATTACGAAGTATTTTTTTCTATTATCGTATAATAATGAGTGTATGCTATGGAGTACCTCTAATTAGGGACAGATGGAGTAAAATAGAGAAAATAGGTGTGTTTAAATTGTGAGAGCAAAAGACCAAATGGTGATTGGGTAGTATAAAAGGAAGCTGACATGGTACCAAGAAAAAAGAAAAGGGTGTCGACTGTATGGTGGCTCATTAACTCATCATCATTGGAGGCTTTACTTCCAGTAGGTCTTTACCAAAAGACAAAGTCCTCCACTCTTATAAAATCCAAGATAAAAACTATTATTATGAATTTAAATACTCAATTAGTACTATGATCAATACATATCTTATATTTCTACAAACTACATTCTTTATATATTTTAAGCTTTGATTAATTACCTAGATGGTAAATGCTTCTAAAAAAAATGTATGGAGTTCATTCATCTCAAATTCTTTAAGGTAAAAATGCATGGATATTGCTAATTCCATCATATCTTATGTTACTTTAGGCGTTCGTTAGTATTAAATTAAGTATGGTTATACAATTTGCTATCTAATTAATTAAGGAAAAATTGGTAAAAATCCCAACTTTCATGTATTCGCTTTCTTTGGTCCCTAACCTGTTATAATAGGTTAAGGTGATACGTGTCACCATATGATTGATTGAAAAAAAAAAAAAAAAACTTACAAAAATTGAAAAAAAAAAAAAAAAAAAAACTGCCCAGCTACCACCCACAAACCACCTTCCCCACAACAACTGCGGCGGCCAAAACCCCCTTCCCCACCCACGCGCCGGCCAGAACCCCCTTCCCCGCGCCGGTAGCTCCCTTTCCCCCAAAACCACCAATCCCGCAGCCCAAAACCCCCGAAATCCCACCCACAACCACCCAAAATCCCAAAATCACCTCCCCCACCGTATAAAAACCCCCAGCCGCCCCTCCCCCACAATCGGAACCCTAGCGCTAGGGTTCCAATGGTGGGAGAGGGGCGGCTGGGGGTTTTTATACGGTGGTGAAGGTAGTTTAGGGATTTCAGACGGGTTTAGGGCCGCTGCGAGATTGGTTGTTTGAGGGAAAGGGGCGCCGGTTAGGGCGATGCCGGCTGGGTGAGGAGGTCTGGCGCAGCAGGCTAAGGCCGGGGACTTGGGCTAGGCCGGTGGTAGACCCGACTCCGGTGGTTGCGTGGTTGTCGTGGGTTGGGGGCTTGGGGTTGGGTTTTTTGTTTTTATTTATTTTTTTAATTTTTAAAATATATTTTTAACTATTAACGCGATGACATGTGTCAATTAACCTTAAAAAAAACAAATTTACCTGTTTAACAGGTTACCGTTCACATGGGACTATTTTGAGCGAATGACCCCAAGGTTGGGATTATTTAAAGCGTGAAAGTTGGGATTATTTTTACCAATTTTTCCATTAATTAATTCAATAAAGTCAAAATTTGCTAATGTCACTTATTAATTCGTAAATTTCCGTTTGCAGTATGTGGGGATAACTATCGAGTGTTATCTTAATATTTAGAGACGGTTGTAACAACAAATAAGAGGTGTGATTTGTGAAGTGTTGGTACTCCGTATTTAAAAAGTAGTTAGTTTTGTGACACTTGTTCATCTTGCCAGCCATTCTCAATCCCAGATTTGAGAATTCAACTGTATGTGAACTGTTCCTTGCAATTCATCCGAGTAATTAAAATTTTAATTAAGTATGATTACTTTTTTTACGGATTTAAAAATGAACAAAACTTTTATACTTAATTCTTAAATTAGATTGGTCCCTCTAATAATGATTCCTAACCTAGTACTACAACACTTTATGCACATGCATGCAGCTAGTAGAAGAGAACTCAAAATACAAACAAGAATATTGTAAACTGTTGTTGTATTAGTTTTTTTTTTTTTTTTTTTTTTTTTTTTTTTTTTTTTTTTTTTATTAAAAATTATAATACGGTGTATTTTTTTTAAGTAATTGATGTGTTTCTGATTCCTGATTTCTCTAAAGTAGTACGGAAATGGAACTTTTTTGGTATATTCTTTGCTACAGCTACTTTCAAATACGAAATACGCAGTAACTAATTAGTTATTCCCTCTAATCCAAATTACTTGTAACATTTGTTTTTCCATGATTAACATCTATAAAATTTAATTTGATCATATTCATAATTCATTCACAAATAAATGAGAGAAACTATTATCATATGTATTCTTGTTATTTATTTTTAATATTTATTATTTTATATGGAGTAATATAGTTTACTAAAAAAAAAAACAATGATAAAAATGTGTCCTTAAATGAAAATTCTACTGTAGTCATTTGTACCACAATTTTTAAAATCGGACGGTTGAGATTTAATGATTTTTGAATTATTTTTAAATGCTAAAATTAATTAAAATTCATTTTCCTTATTTTAGAAATTTATTTTAAAACTAGCCGTCTCCTCTCTATTTTTTCTCTTTAGGGTTCTTCAAAAAAAGTGTTTTATAGGCCGATAATAGTCAAATTTCTCTGAAAATTTGGCTATTTTCGACCCCTTCCCTTTAGTTTCTTTATGTTATTGTTATTAAGTTCAATAAATCTACACTCTTTGAAGGTAGTAAGTACCCCTATAGTGGGTTTGAGTGTAGAAAGTTCCCCTATGGTGGGCTTTGTTCTAGTTTTGTTTTTGTTTTTTGAGTTTAGAATGGTACAAGTTGTTTCATGAATAAAGATTTGTGCGAGTTAAAAAAAAAAAGTTAATCCTTTGATTACAATCAGATGAATCAGACGGAGATTTTCTTCACGATTATAACAAATCGATAGATGTCTTCGTCGAAAAAAGCTGTAAATCACAGCGATATAAAAGAGGGTATGAAGAATATACGATTTGCAACAACGATCGTAGCTATGCTGAAAGGAAATTTGTAGATGTCGTATGACTTTTTATTTATGAATCAATCATTATTCAAAAAAAATTATTTTAAAATTTATTTATTTTTTTAAAAAAAGGAATTTATTTTAAAATTTTGAAAATTAATTATTCTAATTTTCAATTTTTTCCAAATTAATTATGAAATTCAATTTTAATCATTAATAAAATAAAAAATGAGAAAAATAAATTAAATTTTTTATCAGGAAATAATTAGATTGATTTTTTTTATTAATATTAATATTTAAAAATAATTCAAAAATCATTAATTCTTAACCGTTTATTTTAAAAAATTATGATTGTCATTTTTCTAACGACAACGACCATAGAATCATCTGTCATTAAATAACAATGGACAAAAGAATTAATCAAGAAAATTACTATAGGTTAGACTTTGATTATTATCAAGAACGTCAATATTATTTATTTTTAGCTTTATATACGTAGCGCCATAATTCATTCTCATTACTGTAAGTTATTACTAAAAACTGTGTTTGGAACATATTTCTTATGATTACTCCCTTAATTATTAGGCTCGCTGTTTGGCAGTGACAAGCCTGACAACCTAGATTGGTGATCAATTCTTAGTGGTCGACTTCAATTAAACTATATTGACTGCTTCTAATGAATATTTAATGTAGTGCTTATCTACAATTAACTATTTAAGCACTCCTATGTGGTAGGAATCTCTAAACTCCAAGCACGGTGACCCAAGCACTATTATAAAGTTGGTCTTAAAGCATCTCCCAATGCATTATTAAAAATAAGCCATGTCAGCCGCACTCTTAAACGAACTTATCATTTTTTCTAAAGTAAAGTACGAAGTATACAAGGACCTTGTATGGGTATATCATGTGGAGGCTGCTTATGAAAATTATGAATAATAGAATTATGGATCGGAGGTGGATAAATCTTAAGCGGAATTTGTAGAATCATAGAAGAGTCTGATTACATATAAACTCGAACAAAGTTTTATTCTAGAGTCAATTGTTTTATGGTAGATTGGGAGTGAAGTGGGGTGGTTTTGGAGGTAGACGTAGTAGGAGTAGATGGAAAAGATTGCCCTAGCCTAGCTTTATTAATAAGTACTGGCCTTTCACTTAATGGATTTTAGGTGCGACAACAAATTAAAATATACACCAGGCCACAAGAATGTTTACCCTATGCTGAAAGAAGAGTATGTAAGTAATTACCTTACAGTATCTTTTGTTTATCGATGGAGCATTAGCTCCTCCATCATGAATACGAGACTAGTTAATGATAAATGTTCTCCCATTTCTTTGGGATCTAGTCCGAACTGAACCAATTTCAGTAACAAACATTTTTTGGAAAAGGAAAGGGCATTTGAGACACTTGGAATCCAATTGAAAAATTCAGTCCATTATAACAAGTGCCCTCTGCCAGAGCAGCCAACTTTTTGAATGACGTTCTTTGAATTGCTCCACTT